TGGAGTGCAGTGGCCGGATCTCAGCTCACTGCAAGCTCCGCCTCCCAGGTTCACGCGATTCTCCTGCCTCAGCCTCCCAAGTAGCTGGGACTATAGGCGCCCGCCACCTCGCCCGGCTAGTTTTTTGTATTTTTTAGTAGACATGGGGTTTCACCGTGTTAGCCAGGGTGGTCTCAATCTCCTGACCTCGTGATCCGCCCGTCTCAGCCTCCCAAAGTGCTGGGATTACAGGCTTGAGCCACTGTGCCCAACCAGTCCTGGATTCTTAAGTCTCTGTTCTTCTTCCTCAGCGGCCTGTACCAACCATGTCCCTGTCATCACCACACTGCTACGAGGAGGTATGTGGTTTCTTCCCCTCTCTGCCCTCTCTCTCCCCCACTCACCTCCAGAATGCTCACCTTAGCTGGTACCTGCAGGGGCCCGTGTGGACGCCCTGGACCGAGCTGGCCGCACACCCCTGCACCTGGCCAAGTCGAAGCTGAACATCCTGCAGGAGGGCCATGCTCAGTGCCTGGAGGCTGTGCGGCTGGAGGTGAAGCAGGTGAGTACCCCTCCTGTGTGGAGCCCACGGCACCACAGCAGTACTGGACAGATGCTGCCCTAACCACAGACACACCTGCCTCTGGCCCCAGGGCTCCTGGGTGTTCACACTGACCCCAGTTGGCGCCTGCTCCACTGTGCTTTCTGGAAGCAGCATCAGCCTCTCTGCCTCCCTGGGAACCCAGGCAGCTCAGCTCACCGTCTTGTTCCAGATCATCCATATGCTGAGGGAGTATCTGGAGCGTCTAGGGCAACATGAGCAGCGAGAACGCCTGGACGACCTCTGCACCCGTCTGCAGATGACCAGTACCAAAGAGCAGGTAAGCTGCAGCCGCAGGCCCAGACCCAGGGCCTGGCAGGAACCTCAGGGCCAGTCCACCCTGCTCCGATGCCACCAGACACTCGTATCAGAAAGAGGCTGTGAGCTGGGACCAGCTGCAGAGGCTAACACCTGTAATCCCAACACTGTGGGAGGCTGAAGTGGGAGGATCACTTGAGGCCAGGAGTTCAAGGCTGCAGTGAGCTGTGATTGCCACTGAACTCCAGCCTGAGTGACAAAGCAAGGCCCTATCAGAACATGTGGAAAAAGGCAAAAATTATAAAAACAAACAAGCAACAACAACAAAAAAACAGAACAAGGCCCTGTCTCCAAAAAAAAAGTGGGGGAAAGAGACTGTGATTGTGGGGTTGCAGGCTTCAAAGCCTTCGTTCACTTCCTTTGAAGTTGCCAGTGGCTAGTGTATGTTCATGGCACTGCCCTCTAGGACAGCCCTAGGCCACCTGGTGTCAAAGATTAACCCTTGGTCAGCTGCTGCATAGTCAGAAGCCACCACACACCCTGGGAGGAGAGACCGTGCCTGTGTTCTGTGCCTGTGGGATTGTGGAAGAGACCCGGGAGCCTGGCACACCCCATGTCCCATAACAGAGCCTCTGTCCCGTCCTGCAGGTGGATGAGGTGACTGACCTCCTGGCCAGCTTCACCTCCCTCAGTCTGCAGATGCAGAGCATGGAGAAGAGGTAGCAAGAGAGGCTCCCTGCCTTCCTGTCACTGCCCCACCCTGCCCCACTGCTGTCTCAGTACCAAGAAAAAGCCCAGCAGCATCTGGGACTTGGAGCTGCACATGTCTGGTGAGGACCTTGCCCTCACCCACAGATGCCATGGGGCAGAGATGCTCTTTCCACGGCCTCAGAGCCACTCCCAGCCACAGTCTCCAGCATCTCTGTGGACAGGGATCACAGCTCCCAGCTTCTTCCAGTTCCCGCAGCACCAGACCAGCCTCTGCAGCTGCACTTCAGCTCCGCAGACCTGCACTGTCCCAGCAGACCTCACTTGCCCCATGGCCTTCATGGCGCCTTCCAGGCCTCAAACCCTTCTCTGCGTTCCATCCTGGCCACAGGCTTATTGCAGTCAGCAGGTGTGGGCTTAGGCGGGTACCCTGTGGCCATGGGGACTGCGTGGGGCCCTTAGTTGGTTCTGTGCCTCTCACCAGCACTTAGACACGTCACCAGACTTTCAAGGAGATACTGCAGTGAGTTTCTCTGGTTGGAAGGGGAGGGATGGTGAGTCCTAGACCTTAAAAATACAAGGTTAAGAGGGATCCCAAAGCAAAAAATCCCAACCCTTTTCCTCCCAGTCATTGAAACACCAAAACTATTATACCGGAGGGTGTAATGGTTTTGCAGTCTGGTTGTGGTAGGCCAGTAGTGGCCCCCCAAGATACCTATGTCCTAATCCCAGGAACCTGTCAAAATTACCTTATATGGCCATAGGGGCTTTGCAGATGTAATGAAGTTAAGGATCTTTGGTCGGGAAGATTGTCCCCGCTTGTCCAGGCAGGCTTGATGTCCTCATCTGGGTCCATATAAGAGCAGAGCAGGTGACGGGAGAGCAGGTGGGAGGTGTAGTGATGGAGCAGGAAACTGGAGTTGAGGGCAGCTCAAACCGCGGAGTCCAGGCCACCTCAGAGCCAGGAAACACATTCTCCCACAGAGCCCTGCAAGGCCCCAGCCCTGCTCCCACCTGGACTGGCTCAGTGAGGCTGATTTTAGAATTCTGGCTGATTTTAGAACTCTTAAGGGAATAAATTTGTATTGTTTTAAGTCACTAAGTGTGTGGTAATTTATTGCAGCAGCAACCAGAAACTAGTATTGTAATGAAGCCCCAAAATTCACCTTGAGGTTTTCAGTCCTGTCAGCAGCCCCCCGCAGCCCGCCGCAGGAGCACCAGTCCTTCGCTGTGGGCCATGGACAGGCAGAAGGAAGCGTGCCCTCATGGCAGAGGCCTGCTCAGGGGAAATCCAGGAGAAGGCACTGCTGGGCCTGCCCCTGCGCCAAGGCTGCTGATGGCAACTTTCTCCAGGTGATCAGTCTGTGTCCCGCCTGGCTCTGCCCTACTCTCCCCTTCACCAAGTTGGAATCCTTGGCTGCCTTTCACAGGAGGAGAGTGTGTTCCCAATCCCAGATCTGCTCAGGTATGGCTCAGATCTGCAGTGAACTTATAGAACCAGGCCCTGGAGGAAGAAAGGGTCTGTCTGTGGGTATGAGATGGAGGGTAGGCCTGTCCCCAGGAGCCTGCGAGAGGGAAGCCCAGTGCCCCACCAGGTTGGCAGGGCTGGGGAAGGGAAAGTGTCATGGCCCCAAGCCTGAAGAGAGGTGGCAGAGGGGGCTGTAGGGAGCACCCGTGGAACTCAAGCCGCTGCCTGAGGGAGATAAGGGAGAACTGCACCCCAGTCACATGGGTGGCAGAGGTGCGGTTCTGGGGCAGCTTTTCACTCACTTCCTGCCATGTTACTGTGATCCCCTCCAGGTAAGCCTGCCCACTCTCTGGGCCCAGGGTTGCCGTTGTACCCAAACACAGCTCCCTATGGCCATGGTCCCAGGAGTGGGGCAGAGCAGGGAGGAGTGCAGGACAGAGAGGCAGGGGCAGGAGGGAGCGGGCCTCAAACTCCAGGAAGGGGGCTTTCTCATGGGTCCTGCTTGCTGGGCCTCTCCTCTCTCACCCCGGGCTGATCACCTGGGGAAGCCTAGGCAGGCTGCTTGGTATTTGCAGAGCTGAGAGCTGGGGCATGCTGGGACTGTGAAATGGCCCTGAGATGACCCACAGTCCTCACCTGGGAAGCAAGGCCTGTGTCTCCTGCAGCATCCTCCATCCCTGGAGCCATGGATCCAGGAGAACTGGCCCTGGCGGAGGTGAAGAGTATATTGTTGACTCCCTTCCTGGCCACGTAGACAGTGAACCAAAGGCTTGACTGAGGTGGCTTATAGGTCAGTCATCAAACACTTGCCAGACAGCCATGTAGACAGCCAATCTAATCTGCCTCACCCCATTTCCAGCCAGGATATTTCCTGTAACCCCAATTGTGTCTGAAGAGCCAGCCAGATAAAGTCGGCCCCAGACACTGGAGTGAGTCAGAAAACACCCAAGTGGTCCCTGAGCTGGCTGGACTGGGCAGGATAGAGAGCTCAGTGGTCCCTGAGCTGGCCATGGGCCAGGGCAGGATAGAGAGCTCAGCTGAGGTTGTCCTTGCAGGGATGAGTTCTGCTGGTTGCTGGCTGCTCTGGGAATTACTGAAGAGTCAGGGAGGTGGGGAGGAAGGCTTAGGAGATGGCAGGAAGAAGAAACTCACATTTGTTGATTTCACCTTGTGGGTTAAGATCCTTTGCCTTATACTTCGCGTTTCTTTCACGTTAGAAATATTGAGCCACGCCGGGCGCGGTGGCTCAAGCCTGTAATCCCAGCACTTTGGGAGGCCGAGA